AATAACTTTCATATTTTTAATTTAAAAAAACGGTGCAAGACTGTGCACGAATTTTGGACATAAATATTTATTATGTAGTAACTTTTATGTAAATGTAAATTTAGCTTACTACATACATATACAACCCTTGTAGCTTTACAACTTATTCAAATTAATACAGTGGTTTTTTTTTAAAATGAAATGTCTTACTATGTAAAGTCCAACTTGAAAATGTGAATGAATGCCCACTAACGGCGGCGGCTAGAATCTGAATTGATCCCAACTTTGTAAAAGTTTGATCACGACAGAAGATACAATCTTAATTAAAAGATCGTCTCGATGAAAGGGATCTTGCATGATTGGACCCTTGAGTGTCGATGGTGGATGGATATCTAAATGATAGACAGATTCATTTGACCTATTTTATGCATCAAAATCCATACTTTTATTATGAATGTGAAAGTGAATTTGTTTCTTTGTCACGCTTTCACGACTAACCTCCAAACTAATTTTAAAAATTCTTTCATGAAATATTATGAGCGAGTAACATAGGCTACTTTTTACCGCGACTACCGACATACACGCGAGCGGAGCCGTGTGCAAAAGTTAGCTTATAATAATTGAACTATACTTTTGTATATTATCTTACCGAAATATCATAGTAATATACAAAATCGTTGCTTTTTGTCGTTTTTTTTGTCAGTACAAGCGTTTACAAAGCAGTTTGAAATCGATAGAAGTGTGTTTTGTAAGAAACTTAATGTTGCTTCGGCGTGATCTGTACGAATGATGAATTTATAATGTTCCTGACTACCAGGTACAGTTGAATTAGTAAAAAAAAAAACTATAGACATTGAATACAATACTTTCACTCAAAGTTTTTGTAAAAACACTTAATGTATTCGTATTTTTAGGGTTCCATAGCTCAAAAAGTAAAAAATGACCCTTAAAAGATCACTCTCTTGTCCGTCAGTCTGTCCGTGTGTCACCACCAATTTTCTCAGGAATGTGGACCCAGCAAGTTGAAATTTATACCAGATACTGAGGTCTATTGTCCCTATTAGGTGTATCAAAATCGAGGTCCCGAGTAATTGTAACTTGTCTTTTTTATTTTATTATGTTTACATTTCTTTTCTAGATACGTTACTGAAACAAATGAACATACTTTAACGGTATTTGTCATCACATCGTCACACGCTTTATATTACCATGACCGGTTAAATAATAATTGTTAAATAATTATTAATGCATATAATAGACCAGATAGTAAACCAAATATTGTATTTCTAAGTTATAGCTAAGTAAAACAGTTTTATTCAATTCACATGCCTGGTTACCCGCGGTACCTAAACCTTTTTCGTTATCTATGTAACCAAACCGAACATCTCTGAATCTATGCAAGTAAATTTGGAATTATAAAATATGTATTTTATAACACATAATACGATGATGATGATGATGATACGAACATAACGACATCGTCATCATGGCAGAGATGTTGCAGGACCTACAGCAGTTGCTAAATGACCTAGCTAACTGTTCTGTACGCATCGGCCTACGGATGAACTTGCATAAAACCAAGCCATGTTCAACGTTTGGGAAGCTACGTCGAGTCTTCTCATCGTCGATCCCACAGTGCCTTAAGACGAAAGTCTTTAATGAGTGCGTCCTACCCGTCATGACGTACGGAGCCGAAACGTGGACACTCACGGTACGGCTGGTCTACAAGTTCCAAGTCGCTCAACGTGCTATGGAAATGGCTATGCTCGGCGTTTCTCTAAGGGATCGCATCAGGAATGAGGTGACCCGGCAGAAAACCAAGGTCGCCGACATAGCCTACCGGATCAGCAAGCTGAAGTGGCAGTGGGGTGGCCATATCAGCCGCAGAACCGAGTTCTTGAGTGGAGACCGCGTCTCGGCAAACCTAGTGTAGGACGCCCACAGGCCAGGTGGAGTAACGATTTGCGCAAGATGGTTGGCAGGAGCTGTATGCGAGAAGCCCAAAATCGATCTAAGTGGCGTGCAATGGGAGAGACCTATGTCCAGCAGGGGACTGCGATAGGCTGATGATGATGATTTTATAACAAAATAATTAACAAACAGTAACATTAATACAATTAAAAGTAAATACATAAGCTAGAGCATAAATAATTGAAATAAGTAGCAAAAGCCAATGCTTTAGGGGAGCTCGCAAAGTTTTCTACCTACCTACTAATAATTTTCAAGACGGTTTTTTAAAGCGAATTATCTTTTATATGTTTTCACATAATAATATTAATAATTCGATTAATACGGGCTTCATTAATTAATTACGTTTAGCTAAACAGTTTAGTTTTTCTAACAGATGGCGTAAGTAGTACTAAATCAGTTAAAAAAAAACTATTTTAATAATTTTCGACCAAAGGCGTCAACTACAATAAAATTAAAATTGTTAATTTTATCTTTTATTTTATTAAATGTCATAAAATATTTTTATTATAGATCTAGACATGAATTGAAATTACTATGCGAATGGCGAAACCTGAAAGTGTGATAGTTTCTCAGTAAAGAGTACCATATAAATGCATTTGCACAAAATTTAAAGAATTTATACTTAAGGAGAGGCCTATGTCCAGCAGTGGACTGTTTTAGGCTGTTGATGATTGATACTTAAACAGTATTATCGGAAAATTAGTCGGCATGTATTTAGATAACTTTAATTTTAGTCTGACATTTCTAATTTTAGTCTATCTTTGACGATTAGAATGTACTCGTACAACATAATAACAAATGACCAATTATGTACTAAATTAAGTAACTTAACTAATTTTGGTTGTTTCAATCTAAATATAGTTATGTCCTACGTTTTCAGAATACGAAATGTAGTTTGATAGGACTAAACAATTTTTTTGTGATTTTTAGTTTAGTGAGTTTTTGAATTGTCGATAGCCCAAACATCTCCATTCGGCTCGATCCCTTGGCGTTACGTAGAGATGTGGCTTCACTCTGCATTCTCTATCGCATATATCATGGAGAGTGCTCCGAGGAATTGTTCAGACTAATACCAGGCGCAACTTTCCGCCATCGTTCCACACGGCAAAATTTTCATCCTCATTACCTGGATAGTTGGCGCTCCACTGCTGTGCGCATTTCGAGACACTTTTTGCCCAGCACAACCAATCTGTGGAACAGGTTATCGTCTGCGATAGTTCCGGACCGATACGACCTTCAAACCTTCAATAAAAAAGCGTTCTCCTTCCTAAAAGGCCGGCAACGCGTTTGTGATTCCTGAGTTGCAGACGTTCATGGGTGGCGATGGTCACTTTCCATCAGGTGACCCGTCTGCTCGTCTGCCCACTCTAACATAAAAAAAGCCGTGTGGTGTCGTGGGACACCCGATAGGAACGAAGTTGTGACGATCGACTAAAACTGATTCGACACGATTTTAATTACAACGCCATCTATGAAAGCGGCTATTACCTACATATTTTTCAGTTGGTTTCTAATTAAAACAATTTATACATTTATAGATGGCGCTGGATGACTGACAAGTGACAATTTAGAATAAAAAGTGTCTTTACAACTTTTCGTGAGTTTTTTTTCCGTCTAGATCCCTTTCACAACGCGCGATAAGGAACTTCGTTCCAAAAAACAAAAATTTGGCCATTGTAACACATAGTCTGATAAACGGATACACACGTTAAAGTTAAGGACACACATGGTTTTAAAAGAATGAGTGACACAGGAAGTAGTTATGTACTCTAATGCATATGTAATTTTGCCGCTAATCCTTAGTTCAATAAGTTAGTATCATAAGAAATAGTTGTGATTCGCATTCGCAAGTTAAATTGTGTATAAATCTTATAGTTAAACCGCCGTAAGCTTTGCCCTCCTGATGGTTTGCGAGACGCGGGGCGGGTGATGCGCTCGGCTATACATGACACGATGTACTAACTCGATATCTTCAGATTTATTTGTTTGAGATTTAATCTACACACGATGTAATAAAAATCGAATTTATTTCCATCTATTATAATGTCAGTGTATTGTAAGTTTTTATGATTAATTGTAAAATTTAATACTGTAAAATAATTTTAATAAAATCACCTTATCTTCATCATGTAAATTATATTCAGATACAATTTAAAAATTAAGTAAAATAATAAATATTCTTTATTAGAACTTTAACAGTAGAACCTCTGTAAGCCGAACTTCAAGTTTTTAAATCTTTCTGTGACGCAGAGTCGGCAGATTATCCATGTTGCAAAATAATACCGTGTGTAGCAGTCATAAGAAAAATAACACGTACAGCCATGCTTTCACGTCAGTCACTCAGTGCATTCAACCAATTAGCGACGCAGTAGCTAATTGGTTGAATGCACCCCCGCCCCGCGTCCCCCAAACCATCAGGAGGGCCAAGCTTACGGCGGTTTAACTATAGCTGGCAATATCAATAGGAACAGTGTATTTCTTTCTAGTTTAACTCAAGGTCAGCCTACAAATCTTAGAACACCAACATACCAATCCACCAATTAAAATTATGAAAAGAAAGATTAAGAGAAAATGAAAAGTGTTTTTTATATATATATATATATATATATATATATGCAAGAGTGCGTTTTCAGTAACATATATCCATTGGTAAAAAAAACATATCTTTAAAAATTTATTCTTTTAATATGCGTATTATCTACTGACTTGTCGGGCATATTTATGCTGACTCTTTGAAGCTTTGGAAACAGACAGTGACTTACGTCTATTGACAACTTGCGGCTCTGCTGTACCTTGCCTTTCACAACGAAGACATCAATAATTACTTCCTAAACATGTATATCTAAGAGTTTGTTTTAAAGAGGAAGGAATTCAATGTAGTAATTAATAAAATAAGTAAATTAAAGATTACCGTTTCAACAATATTTATTGTCTAATTAACAAAATAATAACAATATAACAATATAGTTCTTAAAGCCACTCACCGCATTTTGCGGGGAATACATTTGTTTGTGGTTTGGTTTTAAACTTTGTACATTGATAGTGATTATTTACTCCTTCTTCTCGCTGTAGGGGTGAGCTGCGATGTACGCGATAGCCTTCTCGATATATTCAGGAATGGGAACTGGGGCAGGAGGAGTGGGGAGATGATCACCCTGTGGACAAAAATAGTAATAGTATTAGCAATAGTGAACCTGAACAAGAGCATTGGAGATAATCGCAAGAAAAGCTTGAAAAAAAAGAAAAGCTTGACTGCCTCGCTGGTGCAGTGGTAGCGTACGAGACTGCTGTACTGAGGTCTCGGTTTCGATTCCCGACTCAAACCAAATGCTTGTATCATCTGCAAATATTTGTTTCAGTGTTTGGATGTTTTTTTAGGTACAATATGTATGTATTTACCGAAAAAGTAAATAAGTATTCTATCAGTCAATCTAGCTTTCATAGTACAAGCTCTACTTAGTTTGAAACTAGAGTTCCGAAACCATTATTATACTCATAAGTAGGATTTTTATTATGATTAGCTTAGCTTATGTGTCACCAGCCATCAGAACCATTAGAAATATAATCATTTCATAAGATAAGTAGGCTATGGATTTCGTGTTGATTTTAATATTTTATGCATAGATTGCATGCAGGTAGGCAATTAACGTACGTGCTGTGAATCTGATTATGTCAACATAGGCTCTGAGTAATACAAACTTTCTATGTAATATTTTTATCCATGTTTTATCCCTAGGCTATAATATAAATATAATCACACAGATTTGCAATTAACAAAAAATAATCTCTTTTGTAGGTGAAATTGTTTCAACACGTATTTTAAAACATCGGGAAACTCTGTATTTTCAAGAATTTTAATCTTATCATACAACAAACCTTGTGTGCTCTATTTGAGACAACTTATTTGCATAGGAAGTATAATTGTTTCTCTAGAGGTAAACGATTACTTTAACTAATGAACATTTCCAAGACTAGTGCTTTTAGTGACATAAAATAATGCACCGGTATAATAAACTCGCAGTTTCCATCTCTATTATGAATATTAGAGTTACAGTAAAAGTATCCTGACATACAACGGCGCTATAAAAATTTAAGTTTTCTCACCGTGGGCCTGTATCCGTTCTCATCGGCAACGTATTTTACTTCATAAACGGTGCCTTCAAGGGATTTGTATGAGTTAGATCCAGAAACTTCGAGGGCTACCTCATCCTGAAAAATAAAGTAACACATTATATTAAATACGATTGTCTCTTCTAAAAACGATAACATTTCCAAGGAGTTTTGACGTGCGGCAAGTAGCCGGGCGTGAGAGAAACCAAAGTCGACGTAAAAAATAAAATTGTGTTTTTTCTTTTCTTTTTAAGAGACAACTCTAGCACTAGGAATATGTCGCGGGGGATTTTACAAATATTCATGAGACGAACACCATGAACACCCAGACTCAGAACAATAATTTGTGGATCACACAACGTGTTGCTCCTTTTGGACATCGAACCCACAGCCATCGCACGGATGGCTTAGTTGTTAGTCAATTGACAAAGTGGTAGGAAGATGAAGATGCTGATTAGAAACCCACGAATTATAGCTACTATTTAAGATGTTTTGGAACTAACATCTATACGGCAGGTCGCTTACTTCCCTTCTCTTTCGTTAAAGAGACTATAATTATTTAGGCAACCACGAAATACACAAAACCAAAAATCTTAATGAATGCGTAAAAATTTAACAAATACATCAAAAGGACAGATTTTTTATCTATTGACTATTGCCATAACTGCCATAGAAATTCAGTAATAGATTCCCTAGTTAGTGAAGTACTTCGTTCAAGGCATTTAAGCAAATAGTGATTAAAATCGACTATCTATTTCATTAATCTATATTTTATGCAAATAAAATTATTAATTTTCTCACAAATAATAAATTTAAAAAAAACTAGATGTACCCTGCTACGCTTCACTGTCGTACATTTAGGTCGCATTGATGAGAAATAAGGAATAAAACTGTCACGAACAGTAAATAAAAATAATCTTTGAAGCTGTTTGTATTTTAGGTCAAAATTTGAGGTTTTTAGCATACACAAATCATCTTAATATTTTTGTATATATATATATGTTATCGTGTTCAATAAATACAGCTTATAATAATAATAATAATAAAGTCTTTTTATTTCCCATCACCCATGTGTGTTCTTATAACTAAATTTCACTTCATCGTTTTAATCTATTTGGGTCTTCGTAAGCATTACTTTCTTGGATAGGAACCCCTATTTGGGTATAGGCCTCCTCCAGATTTTAAACTCCATTTGGAGTAGAATATATTGTTTTTGAATCATTTTTTTTATCAGAAAACCCGCTCTGTGTTTCCAAGGCCAAGCGTTTCTCTTTTGTAGCAAAATATAAATACAGCTTATTAAAATCAAAAACCTGTACTCTTCACAACTATTTAAATATATATATATATATATATATATGATATTAATCTATTCAGTCCAGAGAAAAAATTATTGAAATCCATTCACATATTAGACAATTTTTTTATTTTTTTATTTATACATCTTTATTGTACACCGCTACAGTATATATTGTACAGACAATGATGGACATCTACATTTTGGTATTGGCGGTCTTATCGCTCACGGCGATCTCTTACAGACAACCTTTAAACATCAAACATCAAAAACCTTCTTTTAAATATTAAGTAACTTTTACACACAAAATGTCCAGTGGAATTCAGACTCTTATCCTTTTTGATGGGGGTTAAAAATATTGTACTCACCTTTCCAAAAGGTTTCAGTTTTCCCTGGGCGGATCCCTGAATATCGTTGTCGGTTTCATAAGCGTACTGGAAGTCACCAGATGGTGCCAATTCGTAGTCGCTTCGCAGCACCTTAGCCTCCTGGTCGCTATTCGCGTACACGCACGCGACGATGCAAAGAGCGACTATTGCGGCTTTCTAAGTTTTAAAAAGTCTCAAATAATGACAACAATACAAAAGGAAATATTGAGGCAGAGAAAAATCAGTCACAAAGAGGTTTATAACTTCAGTAGAGTTGATTTATATAATGAAAACCATGAGTAATCCGATTAAAATTGCAGACATATTTTTAAAAAAATATGGAAGAGAAAGTTATACTAACAAGGCGATTAAAACAATTTTCATGACTAGAATTTTTGTAAACAAAAAACATTTATATAAATAGTCCTGTACTGCAACAATAACATCAAAAAGGAAAATAGAAATAGTCACAGCACATAGCATCTTAAAATCCTCCATTAAACTAACTAGAAACTGCCATAAACAGTTCTCATACTCAAACAGGAGTTATTCATCTCAGGCCTATCACTTTAAGTAATGCAATTACGAACTAACGGAATTAGTGAATCTGGTCCATAATCAATAAGATTGTCAATTAATCAATAATTATATTTTTTGCACAAACGTCTTTGCAACGCGACCTATCAACAAATTATTCGAAACTTTAAAATTCATCCATTCATAAATACTTATCAGTTAATAATAAAGATTTAAATACATGGATACAAAACATTTTTTTAAATCACTCACTAGTAGTACTAGTACTTACCATTTTGTGCTGCTGATACGACCCACAAGACCAATCTAATGCTTGATCTAAATCGTGGTTCTTTTATAGCCATGCCAGGATGATATCATACACCTACCAATGTCGCCAAAAACAAGAATGATCAACTTTTTTTTTATCTTCTAAATTATTTTCAATATTAAGGTTAAAGGTCATCTTATATCTAATTTATTTAATCATAGAGGGATATTATTTACTTCTGAAACCTGTTCGACGTTCGATGGTGAAAAAATACAGCCTAACACTGGCATGTAACACAATTTTTCAGAACGCAAATTAAAAATACCTACAATGTTTTAGCCACATAAGAACCCTGAAGAAAATTCATAAATTACCTCACAAATATGATAGATTTGGGGAGAAGGAGTTTATAGGCTTTGTGTCATCATGTATTTAAATCTATAGTATTAAGAAAATGTTCTATCATTAGTCATGACAGGTAGAGTAGACTCGACATTTACCGTATGACTGTTTTGCGTGACGGTGTCCTTAGGCCCCTGATCTAATCAGATATAATGCATAAAGTACTAATTCTCTAGAGGTGGTAGGATTTTGCTTTTGCTAATTTAAAAGGTCACCGAAAATGTTGGAAGATAGAAGCGGTATTCAACTTCGACATAAATATTTAATCGCGTCCTCCATAGGGTAACCCAAAAATACATAGACGATTTCATTGATCTTACTACTATTTACATAAATTCTTACAGCATTAAAACCTCTAATATTTGTACTTACAAATATATGCAATACAGACCTTATTTAAACTAGACTCGTCTTCATTACTATTCCAATTGCAAGCCAAATGTCGAGATAGACAAACATGGTTTAACATTCCACGCCTCAACACACAGTTAAATTATACAACATCTATAGAGATTTTAGATCTAGGACAAAATATGATTTAATATTTAATCATTTAACTTCATGTGTTTAGGAAGGTGCGACGTAGTGATATAAAACAGCTGACACAGCTGTCTATTGTATTGTACACCTACACCATATGATTGCATTCATGATGACTCAAGACTTACCAAAGTTCATTTAATAAAGACCTTAACCTTTTTAGGCAGTCTACACATGTGGTATTATTAATTCTTCTTTCACCACGGATATTCCAAACCAGTTGGTGCTTGCGGTTATAAATGCTTATAAAATATTGCCTCGGTGATGCAGTGGTGGCGTATGCGACTGCGTATAATATAGCTATAAACATAGAATCAAAGGGATAACTAAGAACACTATTACGGACGGAGATTGACATAGCTAGTTCAAATAAGCGAAGGCCGCTACTCGTTTACGTAATATTGATGGATGTTTGATATTCTTAACGTAACATATGCAATAAATAAACTTCGATTGATGAATATGATGATTAATCGATGAACAAATCGAACAATAACTTAATTCGAGCATTGGACTTGGTTAAGATTTAACATTTTAAACACAGATAAAATTAATGAATGACGCCTTGTGTTAATTAAAAATTAGACCAAAAAAAAGTTTTTTTGACACCTGACACATAACGCCATCTAGGTTGAAACTAAGCAGAGCTTGTACTATGAAAGCTAGATTGACTGATAGAATACTTATATATTTTCTGTTTGTAAATGAATACATATTATACATAGAAAACACCCAAACTCCGAAACAAATATTTGCAGATCATACAAAAATTTGATCCGACCCGGGAATTGAAACCAAGACCTCCGCACAGCAGCCGCAGTGGTACCACCGCACTGCACCACCGAGGCGGTGGAGACCAAACCACCACAAAAATTATTTCATTTATTTCAAATACACGTAAAGGTAGAAAATGGCTCTCAGTCAGTTAATATATATATGTAATATTATGTGATTTCTCAATAAAGTCTCTAGGTAAGAATCATCTTGATTAATTTATGAGATTCCTAATACCACAACCTGGTTTAAAATGTTTTCGCGACTGCTGTGCATAAAAAGAATAATAATAATAAAAAAAAAGAATAAAAACCCTAACACATTCAGAGAAAAAAAAAAGTTCGTTTATTTTGTAAAATATTTATTTTTGAATTCAGTGCACATAATAGCGCCGGGTTCATAGTTATTTTTTTTCTAAGGTACACCAGAGGCCCTGGCAATTTGGAGATGAAGGAGGGATCTAATGAAGGAGAGTTCCAGTCCGGTATATCCTTACTGGTAACTCAAGCGAGATGACGACCCTGGAAGTTTGAAAAAAACATTTGTATCCTGGTACAGCAAAGTCACGAACCACCGCATAAGTTAAAAAATATCATCCTGCGCCTCGCTCTAGTTTTTGTAATTACCTCAACCAAAACCCTAGGTCTTCAAAATTATATTTCTAACAACAGTAACCACCCAAATTTTACTTAAGATCACTTTAAAATGTTAATCTCGCTTACAAGCGGCTATCAAATTAAAAGATGAGAAATAAATTGTAAGTAATTTCATTACATCGTCTCGTATCACTAAAAATTGTTTAAGTAAAGATATTTAGGAATCTCTCTCTCTCTCTCTCTCTTTCTCTCTCTCCATTGCCTAAAAAACCCCTTTACTCCAACAGAAGTTGTCACTAAACTGGTATGGCTAAACAAGTCTACAAAACAAACACGCATCAACATCGTGACTGGGCCTGTCTGACGTAGAAAAATATTCGTTAATATTTATGATTCTTTAGAATGCAGATGATGTTATTATTATCAATGTGTCAACCGATGTCAATCTAAAAACCATAAGCATTTGTCTTAACCTTTTACCTTTTTAATTTGTCAATGGCCAAGTAGTTTTAGGATTTGTTTATATAATTTTGGTGATGACATCTTTGAACAAATTTTAATAAAAATAACATGGAGAACTTGTTTGAGTGTAACAGTTTCTTAAATATTTAACGCATTTAATAGTTTTTATATTTAAAGCCAAAAAAACATGAAATTTACTATTCAACTAGACTGAAATATTACCAGTTCATTATAATAATCATTAGCTTCATCATCTTTGACAAATGGAATACACTACTCGATGAACTCGGTTCTGCCATTGTATTAAATTAAAACTTTTTACAAAAAAGGTTTTAAATTATTTCATTTTATATCATTTGATGAAATTTAAATTAACGCATGATGATGATATCTTCATCATTCGTCCATTTCAATTTTGAAGAACTTTTTAAATTACCCATTGAGTTGCAGTTCCTAGACTATCCCGATGCCATTAAAATTAAAATTAAGTAAAACAACGGTATTGCCTATTGCCCTAATTTTAAATATGTAACAAATAATGTGTAAGGGTTTTTTTTTTAACAAATAAGTGTATTCTGGAATATACCCCGGACCAATACCTAAAATACCTGTTGAGACTAAGAAGTTTTCACTCTGGATAACAAAATCTACTTAATCTAATGATCAGTGTACAATCGGTGATTAACGTAAGAAAGTGAGTATAAAAAACTAATTTTTCTATCATCTCATAAAACCTGACATAAGTTCTTCAATAATGAACGAAGAACAGACCTAGTCACCTTGACTTATACTTTCATATGAATATGTAAATACAAAAGGTAAGTAAGCAGCAAAAATAATTCAATTATTAAGAATAACGCTACACCTCCCCTGAGAATTGTTTGTTAAAAGATTCTGTTAAAAGGGTTCTTTTTAAACACAAAATAGCGCTTCCGTTTACGACGTAATAAAAATATAAGCTTTGTTTTTTAGCAACCTTTTAATAAATATATTTTTTGGCCAGAATTGTGTTCAGTGCTATATGTCCCTTTACAGTTACGATTATAAATTAAAAAAATACTGTCATTCTAAATTGTAATATCAGTGAAGAGAATAGGTAACAATTTAATCATAGGAGAGACATGCACCGGCACATATGGGTCGATTCGACCGGAGTGACATCACGCTTCACGGAAAACCGGTGTTAAGTAATTTTTTCCTTACTTTTTACCGAGGGATGAAGTACTAAACCAGGGGGGTATGTAGTGATTCCACTAAAAACCAACACAAACCGGCACTGACATGGTCCGGGTCCTCCCAGAATAGGGCACCCGAGGCCTGCAGTCGGGGTGGTTTTTAGTGGAATCACCACATACTCCTGGCTCCTGAGACCCCGAGGAGCAAGAGATCAGAAGGGATTTTCCACCCCGTCAACAAAAAAGAAAAAAAGGGTTCTTCGAATCCTCCACACTAAAACGCTAGTGTCAGTGCTATGTAAGAATAACGATGATGACGAATAACATTTCACTCGTACTATTTTATCGCTCCTTCACAACAATAGTAACTATTGCAGAAACCTGTTTTCACATGGTCGCCAAAATACGCATACAAATTACTATGAATTTAAGCACTGTGTCGTCTGTTATCTTTTTTTAGGAATAGAACATGTTATATATGAAATCTTGTTCTAAAAATAAAAAATAAAGTAGGCCAAAGGTTAATCCTTTCAACATAATAAGTTCAAGCTTGTTCTAGTTTGGGTCTAGATGGCGTTGTGTGAATGTGGTAGAATATTACTGTTATTATTTTAATAAAAGCAAAGTAAAGATCTTTTAGCTAAACGTTAGTTATAAATATTTGAATCAAAAGACATCTTAATTAAGAAAACGAATATTGTGAATCTGCGTTTGTAGAGAATAATCTGTGGATTCATTTAACTTTTTTTTAAATTATTTATATTTTTTAATTATTATCGTTATCGTCCGCATAAGTTATGTATGTTGAGATTGATGATGATGATTTTTATTTATTTTATTTTACATTTACATACATTTAAGTTACAATTATTATTATTTTTTATTCAAGTCAGATCATATAACCCGCCCCGCGTCGCTCCTGGTGCAAAGGTGCCCATGATACTGGCAGCATTGCCTCGCTGAATTGCAACCGACATCCTTTGCACCAGAAACGAGCCGGAGCGGAAGTCAACACTTTTATCCCTAACTCGGCGACCAATCTCCGCAATTAACTTTTTAGCTTCCGATCCCCAAC